CAGGCGCGTGTGCGTGCGTGCCCAAGATCCCGAGAGGAGAATGGAGGAGAAGGGATTGCGGCATGACCATCCCCTCTGGGGGGTGATTTCTTGCTTTCTGTCTCTCTGTCTCTTTCTGTCTGTCTGGCAAGCGCACGCACCCTGTAGCAAAAACCTCTCCAAAAAAAATAAAAAATAACAGATTTATGAGATTCACTAAACTTCAATTAAAAATATTTAATAAATGACAGAAACTTTCAAGGAGACTTTTCTTAAGAGTGAATATATATTTTATATTGCATGTCAACTCCATATGTTAAATTGCATTAAAGTCATCACGCAGTTATATTTTAAATATATTCAATTTTCTTCTCTCTGTAAGTTTCTAACAATTAATTTTTCTTAGGAATTTTTTTATTTCTGAGTCCTGTAATATTCTCCATCAATTCTGCATCTATAATGGTTTTTCCACCAGCTACTTGATATTCCTGAAGATATAGAGGTATTTTGCCTTCTCTGGCTGTGATATTCTATAGGGTATTTTTTACCTTATTGAAATTGCTTATCCTTGGGATCAGCAGTTGGTGTAATGGCTATGTTACTGGACTCCTATGCAGTCAATCACGGTTCAAGTCCCGGAACCGGTGGCTTAAACTCATGCCAGGCATGTGTGCATGCATGCCCAAGATCCTGAGAGGTGAATGGAGAAGGGATCTTGGTGTGGCCATCCTCCCTGGGGGGTTGATTTCTTGCTTTCTGTCTCTCTGTCTCTCTCTGCGTTTCTGGAGAGTGCATGCACCCTATAGCAAAAACCTCTCAAAAAAAAGAAAGAAAGAAAGGAAGGAAGGAAGGAAAAAAGAAAGAAAGAAAGGAAGAAAGAAAGGAATTGCTCATCCAAAAAGTTAAGATTTCCAAACACCATTCTACCCTAAATCTTACTTTCTTTTCTTTTTTTTTGAGAGGTTTTTGCTATAAAGCACGTGCGCTTGCCAGAGAGAGACAGAGAGATAGAAAGCGAAAAATCACCCCTCAGGGGGATGGCCACGCCGCAATCCCTTCTCCTCCACTCTCCTCTCAAGATCTTGGGCACGCACAGACACGTGCCCGTCGTGAGTTCAAGCCACCCGATCCGGGACGCAAACCGCGGTCGAGTACGTGGGAGTCCAGCAACATAGCCATTACGCTGTTGGTCCCGAAATCTTACTTTCTTTACTTCTGATTGTCTGTATTGTCTCACAATGTCAGATCTTCAGTTTAATCTCTGGACCAACATAAATAATGTCTTGTGCAGTGACAGCAGCACAGACAGCACAGTGGTCAAACAGGGACGACTCGGGGGATAGAGGAGGGGCCCGGGCTACACAGACTTGTAGAAACCAGACATTCCACACTGACCCTTCAAAACAGATAGCTGCATTCAACTCCCACCAATTGTCATCTTAGAGCTGTGGTTCCAAAACTTCAGAGTATATCAGAATCATCCAAGATGCTTAGTAATACACCCAGGTCCTAGCCCAGAATGGGTGGGTAGGGGGTCTGGGACGGAGCCTGGGTACTTTTTTGTTCCTGTTAGTATATTTATTTATGTCTTCCACAGAAGAGAGAGAAAAACAGAGCTTGACAGGCAATCCTAACAGTGTCTTTAGACTCAATCTCAGTCAGCTCAAATCATAGCATGCATGCAGGTTCCTAGCATGTAAAGTAAGCCTTGGGACATGAACCTGAGAATTTCCCATGTGAAGTGCTCTGTTACTGCTGTGCCCCTGGCTGGCCCCTTGAGTATTTACATTTATTTTTTAAATGTTTTTAAAGAATGATTTATTTAATTTAATTTATTATTATTATTTTTTATTTTGCTGTAGGGCACATGTACTCACCAGGGAGAGAGAAAGTGAGAAAGCAACTTGCCAGGTCAGGGACTCAATCTGTGGTCAGCCATGCGGGAGTCCAACACCTGAACCACCATGCCACCTGTTGTTCTTGATGACAATAATGTTCCTGGTGCAGGCACCACACTTTGATGATCTCTTTCTTAAAGGAGCATGAATTCACAGTTGCCAGATCTTCAGGTTTTCTTTCAGAAGAGGTTGGAG